TTTTTATGTGTGGTTTTGAACCGCGGGGGGGGGGGGGGGGGGGGCGTTGGGTTTAAAAAAATAAACAGACCCAGAATGAAAATGTAACAATTGTTCTGGTCCATAAGAGGTGTACCGGTACGAGGTCCGAAGTAGGTGATCATCACTTGGGTATATGGGAAGTATAAGAGAACACACAGATACATTACTTTGAGACCCAACAAGACGACAGAATGGTCCAAGAATTTCATCCCGCAAACACGTAATCTTGTTTTATTACAAACCAGAACCAAAAGAAGAACACGACTCGGAAGGGATATGAAGAACACATTTTATTTAGACACCACGGAAGCCAACAATGATAACGAACCATTTTATTAGCTGCTTACTGTATATGACTTTTTCTTTTAATTAGAAACAAAAAACATATTTTTCAGTGTATTCATTTTTTATTTTTTTTTACTCAAACTTACCAATATTTTAATCCTTAAAGTGCACCAGAGCTCTGCAGGGTCTTAGGTGGGCTGGTCATACCCCTGCAGACCTCTGACCTGTCAGCCCCTATCCGCTGTCAGGCGTCTCCACCACCGGGCTCCCGCCTTCTCCCTGGTCGCCGGAGGGCCCCGCCTCTTCTACTGTCACTGGTTCCCGCCTCCTCCTCTGCTGCCACTGCTGGCCCCGCCTCCTCCCCTGCAAACTGCTGGCTGTCACTGACTCAGCAGCGGCTGTGAGGAGGAATGCGCCGCTGCACAGATCACTGACAGATTTTCAGTGATCTGGACAGCGGCGCGTTTCTCGTCACACCCGCCAGCGACAGCCAGCAGCCTGCGATGCCATGGCGACCCAGGCGGCATCAGGGAGACCCCTTTGTTATCTCGTCCTGGCCGGGTCCCCCTGTGCCCCGGGCCCCATAGTGGTTGCCTGGGTCGCTATGGCGATAGTTCCGCCACTGCTCTCTAGCTGCTTGTACCGTGAAGTAATTTATTTTGAAAGAACCTTAACTATGACAAACAAAGGCTCTAAATGAAGGTTTTGGAACCGTGTTTACAATGGAAGGTTGGCAGGATGCCAAGATTCTGCTTCCATAGGTAATAGCTGAGATTTCTATGCCTGCGTTGTGAACTTTGAAGATGAATTTCTCCACAGTTCCTACAGCTACAGAGGTGAACAAGAGCTTTTTATATACTGCTTGTTCAGAAAATATATTTTATTGTCCATAGTCTGCTTATCGGCTCACTTTGAAAAGACTCTGTTACTGGAGAAATGGGTCAAACTACTGTAGGTTGGGACTGAACCCGGTCCGGATCTGAGCTCCTCTGGACGCGGAAGCTGCATGGGCCCCCCACCCAAGCAGCATAAACAAAGGGGTGCAATGCATGGGCTGATGTAATTTACCCTATATGGCCGCATGTCGCCACATATATATAGCGATGTGGTCATATAAGGTCAATGGCGTCACTACTTCCCGCCCCTTTGCTTACATGCAGCTGCAGGTAGGGAATTCCCCAGCCACAGCTGATTTGATGGAAGCAGAAAGAGTTTCTTTCTGGGTTTATAGGAGCTCCTTTTAGGTTTGGAGGAGCTCCTTCTATGTTCAGAGGAGATGAGGTTTGGATTGGGTTCGGCTGGAACCTGAGCTCATCCCTACTGTAGGTACCTAGAGGTGCCACATGACCATATATGGCCACTTGACCACATCTATGGTGATGTGGTCATATAAGGTCAATGGCGTCACTGCATCCCACCCCTATGCTTACATGCAGCGGCAGGGGGGAATTCCCCAGCCGCAGCTGATTGGGTGGCAGCAGAAGGAGTTTTCTTTTGGGTTCAAAGGAGCTCTTTTTGGGTTTGGAGGAGCTTCTTCCATGTTCGGAGGAGATGAGGTTTGGATTGGGTTCTGCAGGAACCTGAGCTCATCCCTACTGTAGATACCTACAGTTGCCCGTGCCTACCTGCAGCAACCTCCCAAACCATATGAAGCCAAAGCTTCTGTACTTCCTAATATTGCCGAATCTTGCACACCCCTAGTTACCTCTCGCAAATTCCTAGTAGCCAGTAAGGTTGACCATCCTAGTGATGGGCCAATAAGATTGCGAAGGTGTGGGGCATACCAGCAAGCTCCGACAGTCTCAAAATGAATTGGAAGGCTACTGCAGGTATGTGCAGGGACCTCCGGCTCCCTACATGTTGTACCTGAGTCAGTTTGACCCACTCACCCCCCTTTTCCCTAATGACAGTTTCTCTTTAACATACAAAAGACCAAAACCCCACATGACCCTGTGTACAGCTTAGTTCGGTTATACAACTTGTCCTCTAAGCAAATATTCCACACACGTTACTAATTAACAAAACCAATGTAAAGCAAAATGGATGTGGTGCAAAAACAACCTTTCGTACTCCCCAACCAGACATCTGCTGCTCTGTACTGCCTCAGCGATCCATGTGGCCCTTCCTATCAGCAGCCTTGTCTGCTAGCTGGAGATACAACAGGGTCCGCTTATGTTCCAGCCCCCACCAAAGTTTAAAAATTGTGGACTCCTGACCACCACACGTGTATGAGCTTGTATGGAGATCTCATTCCAAAGTCATGGCCATTAATATAGAGTTTCCCCCTTCTCTCCCCCTACCATGGTCATTAATATGGAGGTAACCCTTTTTGTGGCTATACAGTCAGAAGTTTGTGGATTCCTGACCATCACACCTATATGAGCTTGTATGGCGATCTCATTCCAAAGCCATGGCCATTAATATACTGTAGAGTCCACCCCCTCCCCCCCCC